AAAAAAAAAACAAGGAATAACGGGCTGTTAAATGCCATTTGAGCTGATTCAGGTTCTACCAGGATTTCACAATTCCAGCTGACCTTGCTACAAACCTTCAGCTCATAAAAGAGCCCCCACACCCCAAAACTGGACTGGAAGGACCATTGCAGGACCAAGTCTCTTTCCCCACATAACTTGTAGTCAAGCACACTGGAATATACTTTGTACTATTTCATAGAATAGTGGAGTGTGCGAGTAACACAGCCTGGGCAAGCAGGACTTCACATTCCAATCATATTCCTTCACCCAAATGGAATACAAACAGGGGGCAATATAGCCTACCTGTACAGCACTATCTATAGCACTACCACATTCTACAGCACTACCACAACCCAGGTGCACACAATATACCAATTCCAAAATAAGCCTGTGTTCTGCTCCTATCCTGCTATTTCCATTCCTTTGGCTCTCCATCTTCCCAGCTGGGTTAGTGCTATTGCACCACCTCTTGCTTCCAGCAGGGAGAAGGTGATCAAAGGGTAATTTAGGTTGGAAGGTACCTCAGGAGGTCTCTAGTCCAACCTCCTGTTCAAAAGTAGAGTCAACTGTGAGGTCAGACCAGGTGAGTCACAGCTTCATCCAGTCAGTCCTGTAAACATTCAAGGATGAAGACCACACAACCTCTCTGGGCAAGCGGCTCTACTGCTTGAAATGTCCTTGTGATGGACTTGGTACTTCCTTTGGGGAAGGTTCTAGAGGCAACCACTGCCTTTTCCTTCCCCCCAGATTAGAGCTAGGTGACTCCACAGAGAGCTGCTTTACACCAGGCTTCTGGGTTCCATGTATTCTTTGTCCACAGATTTACAGCAGTGATATATGCATATTTTATATATATATAAAAAAAAATATATATATATGCAGTGTCATGTGACATACATATATGCACATCATAATTAGTATTAGTACTGTAGATGACTCCATGGTATTGCCTGACCCAGCGTTCAGTGAAACTGTCAATGGGGAGGTCCCTAGAGAGTCTCAATGGCATTTCACCAGCAGTGCAGGGGAGGCACTAGCAGTAACACAGCACTCCTACCTTCTTCCCCTCCCTACAGATGAAAAATTCTGAATAATCACGAACTTCTCCTGTAGGATACATCACAGGGAAGGACACTGCAATCACTCCAAGCAGTTGGAGCAAACATGCCAAGTAACTGCTCCCTACATGAATAAAAAGCCGGAATTCAATGGCCCAGTAACTCCTAAAAACAAACACATGGCCAGGATAGTTCAAAAACGACTGCACATACATTTGTCCATTAGAGAAACAGTTTACTGTTTTTTGGAAATACTGTATTATTTCACCATATTGATCAGAACTACTTCCCCTTTCAATTCCTCTCTTCATCTTCCCCCTTAATTTCCTTGTCCAGTACACATTCCCTTAACCTCAGCCACTCTAGTGTCCCTACCACTGAGGTACAAAAGCCTGTAGCTAAATAAAGCTGTTCTTTATGACAAAAAAATAAAAAAAAAAAAATTCCCTAATGTAGCAGTCATGATAGATCAAGAATTCTAAGAAGGAAGGTTTGCAGGAGAATTTTATTAGACCAACTGATACAAACTGGAAGATTCATTTCTGGACAAACCTGACCGCTGCTGGTTCTGCTGCTGACTGGGAGTGCTGACACAGAGAGGACTGATGCTCTGTATTACAGAGAAGAATGAGAGATGCTGCAGAAGCCATTGTCTATTGTACAGCTCTGCACTAAAGCTTAAAACTAACTTAAATACAAAAATTTAAAAAGGCAAATAAATAAGCATAACCTCCACTGATTATTTGCTCTTTACCTCCTAAGCAAATGAGCTGACCTCACTTGAACATACTCACTATTACCATACTCATTTTCACCTATCAGCACAGGAGAGAATTGTTTTTAAAACTGGTGATGGACACAACATTCCTGACAGCCTGGCTTTATGCCTGCAAGAACTTACTCTCAAAACACACTCATTCAACAAAGTGCTTCCCAATTATGCCTTTTAAAAATTAACCGTATATTATTGCTAAGATTGTGTTATTAGACTTGGTTCAATCTTCTGAAAAATTACCTACCAGTACTTAGGCAAGATTAACTTCTCAAGATTTCAGCAGTAGTTAAGCAACAGGTCTAGTCAGACAAACAAGCTCAACTTCAGCAGCATAGTGCTTAACAATTAAAACAATCTGCATTTAAAAGGTGTGCACAAAAGCAGATGGAGATACATTACCATTCCCATGGCTCCATCAGGTATCATAGCTCCAGGACCAGTTGCAGGAGGTGCAGCAGCTGGGACATTGGTACCACCCATGGCTCCTCTATTGTTCATGCCAATGGTACCTGGAAAAAGACAACTGAAGAACAGTCCTGGCAGATGCAGTGACTGGGGTCTAGTCATCACTCCAGAGCCACAAAACACTGTGTAAGCACTGTGTAAACTTCATGCAGTGCTATATTCAGGGACAGAGGCCTAGTCCATCAGCTAGCTTTGCACCACCAGGCCAAGACAAATTGATCTTCCATTCCAGTATTACCTGAAACTACAGCAGTCTAACAATCACCACCCTCATTAACCTCTAAGCCTTTTCACTTGTTCTTGTACACCATGTAGTAGAAATATGGAAGTACAGTAATCAAGATTATTTCCTGATCTCATGGACTAGCACTATGTGTCACACCAGCTTCTGTATCAGTACAAACTTCTGAAGCCACTATGGGTATGATGGCAACATCAACAAAGTCTTTTGCTAACTGAACTGAGTCTTTCACAAATGTACAGTATTGCCCCATACCCAAATTTTGTGGTTTGCTGTCATGTGAACACTGCCTGTTACTGAACTGGGAGAAGATTAGTACAACTGAGTTTCTAAATAAAAGCCAGTAAGACTACTCAAAAATTGTACAGATTTTGTAAAGGAGGAAAGGAACACACATGGGAACAAAGAGAATACCCTTACCTCCCATACCCATCTGTCCCATCCGCATGTCTGGTGGCTCCCTCTGGAAAAAGAGACACTCATTTCAAATGACAAAAATTCAGGCTTAAAAAGATAAAAAAAAAAAAAAAAAGTAATTATCCAAGTTCTGTGAGTTCTGAGGTTTGCTGCTGAAAACTGTAGAGAAGTCAGTCCCAGGGTTAATTAAGAAAAAAAGGATCTGAGGTACCTTCACACTGTAACTGCTTAACAAACAGGTCTTATTTAAAATAATCTCATTCTGAAGGACTGTTTTTCACAATCATGGTAAAACATCCATAAGCAAAGCTGTGCGTGCAGATTTTGCCAAACAGCAGCATAAAGAGGTATCTGATATCTGGATGGGAAGATCTCCTGAGCAGCAGTAACACATGAGATAGTGTTAGTTTTGTTACTTCCTCTGCATAGCTAAGAAGCTTTAGTTGAAAGGAATGCAAGCTTACATAAAGACACAGCAGTGGGTCACTTGCACTAAAATACCAGCTAGTGAGTTAATTTCTCATTTACTAATAGAGCGCAGGACACACAACAGATCTCCCTCACTGAAAAATTAGGAGCACCTCCCCACTTCAGCGAGGGTACTACTTTTTCCATAATGGGAACTGAAAACCGGATTTCACTTCAGCTGTAGTCTCAGTGCTGCTATTTAGCATATGAAGGCACTATTACTTAGAGAAACCAGGAGTTTTGCTACACAGGCTAATATTCACATATTTATCTAAGTCACATGGTTTTGGCTTTCTTGGTTTGACATAAATTGTGACCCCTGAGCAAAATAGCTAAATATTTCAAGAGGATACAGGAACACTTGCTACCCAGTTGCCTCCATGCCATTATACCACCTCAATAGCACTTCAGCTGCCTCCACAACAGAAACTTGCTGGGACTGGAAACGCGTTGTTCTTTATAGAACTAGAGATATTAAAAGGTGGGTACCACACATTTTACATTACAAGAAAATACTTGACCAACTACAAGCAATTACTATGCCTGCAGCAGTGCCTCAAGCTGGGATCATTTCATCTAAGCATGACTAAGACAGACTGCAGGCTACAGATAGAGCTGGCCATATGACCATAACAGGATTGCACTACTTCAAGACAGTACATCTTTGTTACTGTTAGAATAAAATCAGTTACCATATATTCTTCTGAACAGCAAGACAGCTAATGAACATGAACATGCACAGCATGAACAGCAGTGGGACAGTAACTGGGGTATTTGTATTTCCCAGACTAAACTGTATTAAGACTGGAGGAAGTCAATAATTTAGAGCAGAATGCACTAAAGACGTAGAGTCTATCAACCAACAAGTTAAGCATTCACAGAAAGCCTGTGCTGTGGAAGGGCAAAACCCTAATGTCAGTGTCCAGATGTAACGGGAAGGTAGAAGCACACATACCGCATCAGCAAAATTCCCTTTAAAGCCTTCCTGCTGGCGTCTCATCATCTCTTCTTGCTGCCTTCTCATTTCCTCCTCACGACGCCTGCGTTCTTCCTCTTGCCTTAAAAAAGAATCCAAGAATACTCAGCACAATATACCCCAACCATTTGCATCACAGCATTGCAGTGCTGCCCAACTGGTCTTGTTCAGAAATCTACAACTTTAAGAACATTATTTTGCTGAGGCTGTAAAATATTAGGTACCTTATAATGAGAATAACCATGTATGTACATGTTTGTGCACATTTCCAACACTTTCCATTTTAAGGAGTTCATTATAAAATCCAGTATGAACACACTCATGAGTATCTCTCATGAGGAGTGGCTGAGGGAACTTGGGTGGTTTAGTCTGAAAAGGGGGCTCAGGGGTGACCTTATTGGTCTCTACAACCACCTGAAAGGAGGTTGTAGTGAGGTGCGGGTTGCTCTCTTTTCCCAAGTAGCAAGTGACAGGACAAGAGGTATCAGCCTCAAGTGGCACCAGGGGAGGTTTACAGGAACAGCATCTTCCCTGAAAGGGCTCTCAAGCACTGGACGAGGCTGCCCAGGGCATGGTGGAGTCACCATCCCTGGAGGTATTTGAAAGAAGTGTAGATGTGGCACTTATAGACATGGTTTACCTATGGATTTGGCAGTGTTAGGTTTACAGTTGGACTTGATCTTAAAAGTCTTTTCTAACCTAAACGATTCTAAGTACACAGCAGCTCCCAAATACATGCGGACAACATGCAACATAATGCACTCAAGCCAAACAGTTCTCAAGACCCTTCTATTACAGAAGTAGTCTGCAGATCTTTCTCGGGCTTCTCAAAATGACCCCGAGACAAGGAAGAGCTGGAATGGAAAGAGAAATCTCTGAGACTAAGTTACCCCTCAAACGAAGAGACAGATCCTAGAATGAGGTTTTCCAACCCGCAGCAGTGAAGCCACTGAATCACTGCACTGATTCTGATCTTTCTATCTGCTCTAAGAGCTAAACTGAGACACAAAACTGTAAAAAACCCCGAATAATAATCAGTACAAGAAATTCCTAACTCTTCCATCTTAAACCGCCTTGTACGCTCTCTCCCCATGAACAAAAAGGCCCAAAACAACAGCCACATTTTAGGTAATAATTGCTACACTGAACAATTAGGTGCACTGAAGCAGCATTTTACTCCATAACAGTATGGATTCACAGCACTTCATCACCTGCCCACTTACCTGAGTTCCAACTGTTTACGTTTTTGTACTTCTTGGTTATGCAATTCCTCCATTCTCCTCAGCTCTTCCTGGCGTCTCATCAAATCTGTAAGAGACAACAGTAAAAAACCCAATCAGACTCATTTCCCACGCCACCTCTTAACCAATTCCTGAACTAGAACAGTAACACACAAGCAAGTAAGAGAACAGAGCCTCCAGCAACACAGTAACATCTCTCCATTCGTTTATCACACTGTGCTTGGTTACAAGTCAAGCAGCTACACCATGGCTCAACTTCAGTGGATTCTAGCCAGTCTACTAAGGTACCACCCCTGGGTGTTGCAGGGCCATGTTCTGATACTGTGTTTGTCTTGGATTGGTACCTTGCCGCATGAGCATAACTTGGTGTTCATGGCGAGCTGCTTCCATTTCCATTTCCAGCTTCTCTCGAGCTTCCTTGATGTTGCGGTCTACTTGCTCTTGCTGCTGCTTCTCCATTTCTATTAGAGCCTTCCAGCGCATGGCATATTCGTATTCAAAGCTGCCAGGCTGTGCAAATCGAGGAGGCTGCTCACGCTCCCTGTCAAACAAGGAAGAGCTAGTGAATGCTTCAACAGAGCAAGGAGGAACCAGAAAAACACACTTATGTGTTAAATGCAATGGCAGATCCTTTTAACAGTTAGAAATGCATTTCTTAGCAAAACAAATAAGGAATCACTTTGCCTTCTACTTTCTCACAAATAGCTATGCCTGAGTGTCTGCTCCTCAGGAACCATCTGATTGAACAGAGAAGCTTAGGCAGAATCCTCCTGCAGAATTAATCATACACGGAAACTGTCCTGTTCTCCTCCATAGTAAGCAATGACGCTGCTTTTGTAGGACACAAAAACGTATTTAGAAATACTCTGGAAAGAAACAGCCTTTGCTCCTGCTGTATATCTCATGGACAGATCCACCTCTGAAACAAACACTGCCCAAATGTGTGTATTTCACTAATCTCTGCAGCTCCTGAATCTAAAAGCACACGACTACTCCTAATGCAGCCTCCCAGCTTCCGAAGGTAGTCTTGCTTACTCAAAAAATTCATGACCTCACATTGTTTACTAATTCCCACTGCCTGGATCACATGCTACCTACTTACCCTGGGAAGCCTACAAAGACCATGGCCTTATACCTAAATAGCTCTACAATCTCCTAATGCTATTCATACAATTCCTTAAATTTTCACTGTGGGTTCAAATCCGTTTCCTCTGCAGACTTTCCATAATACTTACAAGCACATAATTTAAGTCTTTTCTTCAGCTTCACACCCAAGCAAGGGGATCTCACGTTATCTCAAACTGACCCAATTTTTTATTCCAAGAACTGAAACAGACTTACGAAAAATATGTGGAGGCTGCCAGTCTGGTCCAGCAGCGTGGACCCAAACCCACTGCTTGCTTTCAGCTGACCATGGCAAGAGAACAGAGTACACCGTTCTCTTCCCAAAGTCAGGTCACATTTACAGAAACAAGGATGACCTTTAGAGCACTGAGGAGCCACCCTCTGAAGATTGAGGCACTAGTCAATGTCCTAGCCCACAGGTAATCTCATCTCCTGTCACGTGGCAAGCACATACTTGTGATACTGCTGGTTTTTAATGACTAGCTTCTCTGGTAGTCCCTCTTCATCATCATACTGATCCATGGGCTCCACAGTGACAGGGCGAGGGAAACTGTAAAGAAAAGATGATGTGCTTTTAAGAAAATTCAAGGAGCTTGCAGTGTAGGAAAGTGCTGTGTCTGAACCTGTGTAAGAGTGCTCTTAGCACTGCCCAAAGAAATTCAGAGCAGTTGAGGATCTCAACCAAACTGAAACCAGAATCAATTTGAACACTTTTTAATTTCTTTCTAGAATAGGAGTTGAACTGTTAATCAAAATCCTTGTTGAATCCAAACCAAAATTGTACTGAAAGAAGAATATTTGCAGTTACCAGTTCAAATTAACAGCTTAACTGAAACCTGACATGTTCCAGTAGGATCTACTCAGTATGAAGTCTAGTAGTCCCTAGAATCTGGGTTTTTTTTTTCCTCCCTTTCTTCTCTTGCTACATGGCCAACCATGGGCTGCAAAAGTCCTTGTGTGCCTTCCTTTTGTAGCTGCCTAAATAAAGCGAAGAGTAACTACACTGCTCCTCACTGAAGGTTGCTGGCTGTACCATTCAGACGTACTCCTCTGGTGAGACCACCACACGCCATTATTGCTAAGCAGCAGTGTCCTAAAGTACCTGTTGGGCCCTGCCTGAATTCCCTCTCCCACCCCCAAGAAATCCACTGGTGCACTTCACAACGCAGACACTGCACACATATGCTTCTGTCCTCCTGGTTTCTGCATGCAGAAGGAAGTATTTAACAGAAGTGTTCTCAATCACTGAATCAACTCCCCACCACAGTAGTGACACTGCTCATTCTCAGCACAGCAGCTTCTTACGAGCCCCTCAACCCCACTTGTCAGAGCTGGGGAAATTGCAGTGGCCAGACTCCAGCAGAAAGGCAGGACAGAGGCTAAAATCTCTCTCTCCTCATCTGAAGATGCGCAATGTAGCTTTTCAGTTTGATGTGACATATTCATATTTCATAATAAACAGTCTTATTTTCCAATGTGAACCAACTGCAACCAGTTTATCTAGCTGTTACCATCTTGAACTAGGACAAACCTGAACAAATTTAATCAAAACCAAATCATAACTAGAAATAAGCAACATGCTGGTTTGCTGTCCCAGAAATCAGATACACCGATAGCTACAAAAAGATTGAACGTTACCCCTCAGGTGCTCTCAGTCACATCACTGGTAGTGATTAATCCTGCATGATCACTTTTAAAAATATGTTTTCACGGTTCTTTCAGGATATAAACTTCCGAATCAGCAAAAGCTCCCTGACAGCAATGCTCCTGCAGAGTGCTACGCACTCTGCTGGTTATCCCCAAAGAGTCTCAGGGGAAAACCCTCAGGTACTAAAATACCCCAAAGCAAACAAACAAAAAAAAAAAAAAAAAATCCAACAACACCAAACCCCAAAACCAAACAAAACCAAACCCCACCACCCCAAAAGCAAAACAACAACAAAACCCAACATCTGCTCTTTGAAACAGAACGTGCTTGTGTATGGGTGTATGGCTCTGCCATATGCAGGCCTCCAAGAACAAGGAGAAAAGTGAGAAGTACAAAGCTTATGAAGTTATTTTAGTAATTAGGGGTATAGCCCCAATTTCAGGAGGTATTCTCTTCACAAATTTTAGGTGCATTCTTAGAAAATGTATAGTAATTTTATTTCCAAGAGATCGAAAAATCGCTCTTGAATTAGAGCAACAAGCCATATGCTGTGGAATGCATCTAGAATTAGTCATTTATTTGAGCAAGTAGACATAATTATGCAAGAACAAGCTTTGTTGCCTTATACTATTCAAGGACAAGAGAAAAGGTTTATTATGGTGAAAAATCCAAACAATTCAATCTATCCTGCTAGCTTCTCTGGCAGATCCCAAGCCCACAGTGGCAGATCAGCATTCCACTCCAGCAGTGCCTGCTGCTGAGTGGAGTCCCATCCCAAGACTTGACTTCTGAAGTAACCCAGAGTACGCAATTAACACACTTGAGCTTCAATTCCAACAAATCCTATGGATGGTCTCTGAAACAGCTCCTGCTTCTTAAAGGCTGCTTTCATTGCTCTAAGAAGGCTTCACCCAGAAAGAGCTTTTCGGTAAGTTTTGTACATTTACCCCACTAGCAGCTTCCCAGAATAAAGTCTTCAGACCTGAGTTTCAGCACAGACTCACTCTCGTAAAGACTAAAACTCCCCCCAGGCAAACCACCTCCCACCTCCTCCCCATCTGTCCCGCTCTGGTGTCAAGAAACATTGCTCACAAGCCAATGCCACCCATGAACCTGCACACATGCCAGTGTAACACTTCTCACCCTCCACACTTACGTAGTTAGCAGGAAAGACCCATCACTACATCTATCCAGGGCTTTCCTAGCAGCAGGCTTCCCTGAGAACTCCACAATGCCTTTCCCAGAGGATCGTCCTCTGTCATCCACAATAACCACAGCCCTTTCCACCTGGCCAAACACTGAGAAGGCTTCCTCCAGGAGTTCATTGGACACAAACTGAGGCAGGTTCCTGACTGTCAGTGATGCGCTGTGGCATGCAAAACGCACTCTTAGCTGCTTCCCACGTAGAGGCATGTTATCTAGTTCCACCTTTGCAATCTCTGCCAGAGTGCGAGTTTCCTGAAGATAAAAAAAGTTATCATTAAAACTCTCAATGCAGTACAGAATCAGCTAGTGTCAGAACAGCCTATTTCTCCTGATCAAGTAGTTCACAGAGAGGAACAAATAATCTTCCCATAGCATGGCAAAAAGTGCCCTAACAAACCATAGCTGTTGTCTGTCATGAGTGACTCTAGCTGAATAGGTATGGGCAGAGTCAGGCACGGGAATGTATCACCCTAAGCTTAATTTGGCAGCTAGTACAAACTAAGCAAGTAGTTAAATGATCATTATATATCAGCCATAACTACATTAAGACTACAAAGCACGATTGTTTTTAAAAGATTTAGGGGGGAAAAAAAAAAGAAAAATTAAAATTAAGATCCAACTATCAGCCAAGTCTGGTAACTGTAAAAGGAAATGCTGGTTGTATGACATGAAAGACACCCTATGTCAGTTTCATGCACTTCCACTCATTCAAGTCACCACCAGGCAACTACACCACAGCAAAGTGCCCAGACTTTGGTGTGGGAACCTTATGCTCCATCCGCTCACCTTGAGACTTTCTAAAAGGTAGTACATGATCCAATAAAGTCCAAGAACCAATACTCTATGTTGGTAGCTACCTACCTCCTAGCTACACTTCTATGTGATAACCTAGAGATCCCCTACATTAAGAGCATTCACCACTCCAGTAATACTGCATGACTTCCTATGTCCATAGAAATTCCATGTTCAACCTTTCCAGAAAATGGAAGTCCACCTTGCCTACAATAGCATCACACTATTGTCTTCCCTCTGTTTTCTACCAGCTGACTTCAGAATAACTTAATCAGATATCTCATAAATCCTGCCACAAACTGCCTGAATTCACATTCCTTCTCACAACAAGACCTAGACAAAGCACTTGTAGAAGCTGATCCCAGGTTACTAAAATCAACAGGAGGCTTAACTAGCAAGCTATCTGAACATCTACTACTTTCAATTAGCAACACTTCTCCAGCAGAAGTCACTGCTACAAAACACCCCAAAGGCAGCAAGTCACTCACCAGCCTGATAAAGCCAAAGCCTTTGTCCTTGTGGATGAAGACTTCACCTGCCTTGCCATACTTCTCAAATAACTTTCTCATCTCTTCCTCTGTAATATCAGGGGGCAGATTCCCCACAAACAGGCGGCTTCTTTGGGTGAAGGTCTTTTCACCAGGTTTCCGGAAGTTCTTCAGGTCAATAGTCAGGCCTTCATCTGAGGGGAATAAGGTACACAGCTGCTCTACAGTTGGGGGGATAAATTCTATTAGGTTTCATCAGAGTGAACACAGAGACATAGGACAATACAGGCAACACCACCCATTCACTTCAGTCTCAAACCTCTCCAGCAATCTCTACAGCAACAAAGGGATTTGATTTCAGAATAGGCCTATATTGTATTTAAAAAAAACATGTACTTGGACCTCAGTGCTCATTAACAACAGTGAAAGATAACTTAGAACTGGAAAAAAGGACAACACTTTAGCTTGAAATAAAGATGTTTTGCCCAACTTTTGGAGATCTGGTCAAGATGACTGGCCCACAACAAAATCAACTGTAGACACAATACAGGACTTTGTTGTTACAATCTGAATAATTACAGAAATACCAGTTTGGCCAGCAACCAGATTTTTACTGAAGACCAATCAATCACCCCCACCAGCAAACAGAAAACTAAATCAAACAAAGCACCTACTCCCCCCAGACAAAACAAACCCCAATCCCAGACATCTATAAAAATATGCAAACAAGAGGAAATTTTGCCCACAGATAACATTTGAACTAGCTGTCATTCTGTGAGATAGGATTTGGGTTCGAGTCCTGGGTTCCAAGCTGAAGAGAAGGCTGGAATGGTGAAAATGGTGGTGAAAAAAACCCCACCCCCCAAACGCAGCCAAACAAAACCTATATATACTTGACACTAATAAACAGGACGGATTGTAGAAACATTCTGAAATCCCCATATGCATATACAAACTTTAATCCTTAATTCAGCAAGAGTCCAGCACAATCCGGGAAGATCTGTTACATGCCAGATACAGAGGTGGCTTTATTATCATCACTCTACCTTCCTGCATCCTAGTTCCCTAAATGTATATCAAACTTCCTCACACAAACAGCAAGCCATAGAATGCATTTCCTTTGCTTTGCAGAGGACATCTCACAGTTGCACATATGAAATAGAACTATGGACATGAGTGGCTTGATTCAGGCTATACAGCATGGCACTGATCAGGAAAGGCTATTCATGCAAAGACAATGCCTGCAAGACACGCGAGGACAACTCTTTTGTAAGAATAAGAACACATCGATGACTAACACAAAAAAACCCCAACTATTTGACAGTATTATCTGTGGAAGAGTAGTGAAAGTTATCTACTTCACACAGCCAGGGTGCATCAGTGTTTTGTCCTGTGAATATTACACCATTAACAGAAGTGTTTGGGGATTAACTGCAAGGCCTGTGAACACACAAGGAGGGACTTACAGCAGAACTATACCACTATCTCTGTCCTGCCTTGAGCAGACCCACTCAAAGGAATCTGAAATACAGTCACTCACTATAAACTGATCTCTCTGAGAATACCACAATATAGTTGTTCTGTTGTACTGTTTCCAACCTGACTGGAAAGGACTGGACTGCCACCCCTGTCTATTATCTTCTATGACCTGATAAGGAGCCTGTTTAACAGAGCCACCTAATAAAAACACGCAGGACTTCTTTTTACTAGCCCAGGATCTCTGTGTGTGTGTGTGTACATATATATATATAT